AGGATGTGGAGAAAGAGAACCCTCCTACACTGCTGGTGGGAATGTAAATTAGTTCAACCATTGTGGAAAGCAGTATGGAGGTTCCTCAAAAAACTCAAAATAGAAATACCATTTGACCCATGAATTCCACTCCTAGGAATTTACCCTAAGAATGCAGGAGCCCAGTCTCAAAAAGACATATGCACCCCTATGTTTATCACAGCACTATTTACAATAGCCAAGAAATGGAAGCAATCTAAGTGTCCATCAGTAGATGAATGGATAAAGAAGATGTGGTATGTATACACAATGGAATATATTCAGCCATAAGAAGAAAACAAATCCTACCATTTGCAACAACATGGATGGAGCTATGTTTATGGGTATTATGCTCAGTGAAATAAGCCAGGTGGAGAAAGATAAGTATCAAATGATTTCACTCATATGTTGAGTATAAGAACTAAGCGAACACTGAAGAAACAAAACAGCAGCAGACTCACAGAACCCAAGAATGGACTAATAATTACCAAAGGGAAAGAGACTGGGAAGGATGGGTGGGAAGGGAGGGATAAGGGGGGGAAGGGGCATTACAATTAGCACACATAATGTAGAGGGGGGTGCATGGGGAAGGCAGTACAGCACAGAGAAGACAAGTAGTGATTCTATAGCATCTTACTATGCTGATAGACCATGACTATAATGGGGTATGTGGTGGGGGCTTGATAAGGGGGGGAATTAAGTAACCACAATGTTGCTCATGTAATTGTATATTAATGATACCAAAATAAAAATTAAAAAAGCAAACCAGAGAAATAGAAGAAGGCAAGGAAAAAAGAAAAACATGAATGAAATAGAAAACACCAAGAAAAAGCATTAGAAGTGATCAGCACAACCAAAACATCACTTCAAAAAGACTAATAAAAATACCAGTTTTTGGCAAATATAAAACAAATGGGGCACAAATAAGCAGCACCAATAATATCTATTAAAGCTAAATATACACATATACTTTGATCAGCAATTCTACTCTTAGTAATTTTATTCCCACCAGAAATGTGTACTGATTTCACTAAAGAACATGTTTAGGATGTTCAGAGCAGTACTTTTCATTATAGTTAAAAAGAGGAAATTACCCAAATACCCGCCAGTACTAGACTGGTATTTAATACTAGATGGGTAAATAAGGAGAGTGGTCTACAACAACAACATGCAAGAATATGGATATATCTCATAATCTAATGTTTTCATAACATAATGTTGAGTGAAAAAATGGTTCATACTAACAAATAGTTCAAAAATTCATATGGAAACACCAAAGACACCGAATAGCCAAAGCAATCCTGAGAAGGAAGAATAAAGTCGGGGGGATCTCACTCCCCAACTTCAAGCTCTACTACAAAGCCACAGTAATCAAGACAATTTGGTACTGGCACAAGAACAGAGCCACAGACCAGTGGAACAGAACAGAGACTCCAGATATTAAGCCAAACATATACGGTCAATTAATATATGATAAAGGAGCCATGGACATACAATGGGGAAATGACAGTCTCTTCAACAAATGGTGTTGGCAAAACTGGACAGCTACATGTAAGAGAATGAAACTGGATCAATGTCTAACCCCATACACAAAAGTAAATTTGAAATGGATCAAAGACCTGAATGTAAGTGATGAAACCATAAAACTCTTAGAAAAAAATGATTCATACTCTATGACTCAGCATCTATAAACACGTAACAAGAGAAACTAATCTATGCTAACAGAAGTCAGGACAGAGATATTCTTGTTGAGTAGAATACTGACTTTAAAGTAAGACTGGGTTTTTGGGGTGCTGGTAGCATTTTGTTCCTTGATCTGCATGCTGATTTCATAAGTTTATTCAGTAGGACTGAGACGAGGTGAGACAAACAAGATAACCTAAGGAACAAAGTTTATGGAGGCACTCATTCTCACCTTGCTTGTCTCACCCTCATTCCAGCCCAGGTGTTCAATTTATGGATATTTATTTAGCTACATCATGAGTTATATATTTTTCTCTATGTACATTATAAATGTTACAATTGTTCTAAAAATGTTAAATGGGTCTGATCTACCTCATACCACAAAAATAAACTGAATGGAATAAAAACCTAAATGTAAAAGGAAAAACTGTAACTTTTAGAATTAAATTTAGGAAAATACAGAAGTCCTCTGTTCCAAGACCTCAGTAGATGCCTGTAACCTGTAACCACAGATAATACTGACTCCTTTATATACTGTTTTCTCCTATACATACATACCTATAATAAAGTTTAATTTATAAATTAGGCACAGTAAGAGACTAACAACAATAACTCATACTAAAATAGAACAACTATAACAATGTACTGCAATGAAAGTTATGTACCTATGCTCTCTCCCTCAAAACATCTTACTGTATTGTATTCACCCTTCTTCTTGCAATGATGTGTGATGATAAAATGCCTGCATGATGACATGAAGTGAAGTGCATTGTGACAAATCAGTAGGCTTCTCCTGACCTTCTAGGGAAGATCATCTACTTCCCTGACAGCAGTTGACAAGGATAACCAAAACCTTGGATAAGGGGAGGACTACTGTATTATAAATGACCTCAGGTAAAGAAGGATTTCTTAAGAATATTTAAAAGCACATATTAGAGGAAAAGATCTGACTATATTAAAATCAAACCTGAAAAGTATATTGCAACATAAATAAATGAGTTATTATTTTGAACATATTTTTAAAATCAATGAGGAAAAGAAAAATAACCCAATAGAAAAATGCATGAAAAACTTGACAGTTACTTTATACATAAGAAAACAAGAATGAAAACATGCTCAAATTCACTAATAGTCAGGGAAATGCAAATCAAATCATGAGATATCACCATTTCACAACTCTACCAGTAGATAAGCAGAAAATATAAATTCAGATAATATCAGATAATACTAAGTGCTGACAAAAATGTGGGGCACCATTCTCCATTGTTGATGAGTATAAATTGATATAACCACTTTGGAAAACAGTTTTGCACTACCTAATAATATGGAAAATGTGCAAGCCCAAGGACTTTTTTGGTATATTCTCTAGAGACACTCTTGCACATTACTATCAGGAGGTGTGTACATGAATGTTTGTAACAATTAAAAAGAAACAAAGAATGTCTATCAAGAGTAGAGTATTCTACATCAGTGAAAATGAATAAACAACTATACACAAATGGATGAATCTCATTTTTGATGGTCAAGCAAAAGAAGCAAATCATAGAATACTTAGAGTATGACTACAATTATATAAAATTTTTTAAGCAAGCAGATATAAATAGTAAAATTATAAAGAATAAAGGAAAGATTATTACAGAAGTCAGGAGAATGGTTACCTTTGGAGGAGGAAGAGGGGGTATAATGAGGAAGGGGCACATGATGGCTTCCAAGGTAATGATAATGTTGCACTTCTTAGCATGAATGGAGTGCGGATGTTTTCAACATTTTTAAAATTATACTACTATTTTTATGTACTCTGCTGTATGCATCATACATTTCAAAATAAAATTTTAAAAGCAGTAAGAGTCTACATACATATGCACATGTATAAATGTGTATGTGTGTGTGTGTATGTATTCTATGAAGGTAAACAACAAAAATTCTTAGTGGGAAAATGTCAGTAAGCACTTCACTAGATTTACTAAATTCTCTCATATGATTGGCTGGCTGAAAGAGGACCTGGAATGGATTGAATTTACCACAAAGTCCAAATCTTTGTGTATATATTTCCCACTAAATGTATTCTTGAAATTGTTATTACATGTCTTATTTAATCTATCAGTTGAATCACTCATTCTCAAGTTGTCCTGCTTTCATTTCAGTTGGTAAAAAAGAAATTCTTAATTTTAAAAGATAAAAACCCAGTTGAAAGATGCTCATTCTTTTCTTAACCTTTATTTTATTTTTTTTAACCAATCTATGTTAACTATATCTTCCTTGTGTGGAATCAGAAGAAAGCTGCACCAAAACCTAAAGCCATCAGCATGTGTGACATTGTGAAAATATTTCCTAAAAATGAAAAAAAATTCTATTGTTTGTTTGGTTATACTATTTACATTATGTGAATTCAGACCTCTTTAATGTGCTTAATATAATGCAGAGTTAAAGAACCAGAAGGAAACTTCACAAGTTACCTACATAGAGTCATCTGTCTTTAAGGAAGACTCAAACTACCTCAAGAAAACAAATTATCATCCTAATCTGAAAATAGCTCCTGCGAAGATTTAATAGCATGCCTTCCTCCTAAGCAGTCTGAAAATTCTTTATGTCTAACTCAAAACCCTTTTAATACAATGTTAGCATACATAAGCTTTATCGCCCAGACAAAAGGGTGTGGATTTATCCAGGGCCCAGGGACCCTAGCAAGCACCGATCTCCAAGTCTCTCCTGGAGGAAGTAAGAAGGTAAAGGGCTCAGAGCCCTGCCTGTTTGGCTCCAGTGGCTCCAACCTCCCCAGTCCCCTGGCTTTCCCCAGGAACCTAGCCCCAAAGGTTTTCTCTCTCCACATAACTAACAGTTGACTATATTTTGTTTCACTTTGACTCAAGTTTATCCATAACTTTGTCCTCCCCCACCCCTTTCCCACCCAATTACCCTTGTAATCAATAACTTATTTATACTTCCACTGGAGTATGAATAAAAACCTAGGATATTTTTTAAATCCTAAAAATATGTTACTTACAAATGAAAGAAAGAAAACCCAAAAATTTCTAAATTAATGGGTACCTTTTATAAGAGAATTACATTGGAAAGTCTTTTTCTTCTCCTGGTCATGGACAATTTCATCTAACAAAGCATCTTAAAGACAGCACTTGTTTAGAATAAAAATTCCCTGAGGTCAGGGGCTAGTTTTGTTTCAGTTTTTATACCTGGCACATTCCTTGGACCCTAGTACTGTGATATGACCCGTGCAGGAACAGAAAAACGTCAGCTGTGCTTAAGTGACACAATGGAAGCTCGTTAAAGCTTTGCCTTACATGATCGTTGCCTTCCTCTTCTTCCTCATCGCAGTCCAGACCCTGATGCACAATCTCAGTGGTGCTGTTCTGAAAGACACTGGTCCCCATATCTGACACTCTGCTAGCCTCTGTTGTGACTTTTACTTTCATGCGATGGAAGCCAGTGGAGACCAATCCCACTTGCAGGTTTACAGGCTCCCCTTGGAACAACAGGAAGTGTGACTTTACCTCTTCTTTAAAACCAGGGGGTTGGTAATCATTTGGGGTCACTACAAAATTGAAAAAGGCAGAACACCAAGAAAACTGTGAGTTTCAACAGAAGTCAGATTAATCTTTCATGTGTAGCAACAGATGCTTGCAAAATCCTTTTATTTATATAAAACATTACTTCAACACTTATGAAGGAATTTGACTAGAGATCTGCACCTACCTGCATTATAGTAGTGGAGTTTCATAGTAAGTGTAACATCATTAGGAAGGGGTCCAAGGTTCTGCATCAGTACATACAATTTACGGATCAGAAGAATACTGGCTTTCTTAATATCTTCACTGTTTGTCCTACTTTCGAAGCTTGTACTACTGCTGTAACCACATGGAAAAAAACAAACCTTTTAATAATATGGCATATTGAAATTCTATTCCAAAAAGAACAAAACATTTTACTATATGATCAAATAAATATAAATTTAATATCAGGATGCTCTGGGACTATTTTTAGAATGCAAATTAGAGGAGGGATTGTACTTTCTGCAATGTATATTCAAAGGATTTTTTTAAGTAACAAGTTCCCTCAAGGCATTTTAAATATGATCTGATCTTTTAAAATTTTTATTTATAAGTAACCACATACTAAAATAGTGAGAACAATGGATTTGGAATTAAGAGACATTGGCTCTGCTGCTAACTACCTGAATGACCTCCATTAAGTCACTCAGACAGTCTAGGTCAGTTAGCTCATTTGTAAAATAAGCTTGCACACTCCATGTATAAAGTCAGTCATCAGCTCTGGGCCTTTCTACCATCTGGTAATCTCTCAGATGCATCCCCTCCTTACTCTTACATGGATTATGACAGTGGTTTATCTACTCATCCTGCTTTTCTTCTTGTCCACATTGGAAAACATTCTCCATACCACTGCTGAAATAATATTCCTAATAGGAAAATCCACTTATGTGTCACTCTCAATTAAAATTTTTCTATTACACTCATCACCTTCCAATCAAATTCAAAACTGGTGTGTGTACAATGCCTTTTACATCCAACTGTGCCCTCAGCTCCACCTTCATCTGCAACTACTACCCAGTTTCTTCTTACCCAAGTGCATTTGCATATGCTGTTCACTTTGCTTGTACTGTACTTATTCCACTTCTCTTCCTGACTCTCCTGAATCCATCCTTTAATCCTAGCTGACATGTCATCTTTTCAAGGAAGTCTTACCTGGTAATCCCCATCCCTTACCCTTGTTAATAATTGTATGGCCCCCCTACCCCAGACTATGAATGGCTATATCTTTCATCTCCACAGTACTAAGTTTGGTTCCCACCTACAGTAAGCACTCAATGAACATATATTGAATTAATGAATAAATGAACAAGTTAGACTAAATTACCTTCCAACTTTAAATGTCTTTTATTTCTCTCCAAAGTTTTCTTCCCCAATTAGTCTCATATTTGAGTAGTTTTCAGAAAGGAAATGACTATATTTGCACAATGCCTTTCACAAAATAAGCACCCAATATGCAAAAATAATCCTAAGTAATTGAACTACTGGAGGCAGTGTGCATTCATAAAACAAACATTATTAAGTGAATATATTTGCTCCTTCTTCAGTTTTGAACAACTTAAAGTTTTGTCTACCAAGATGTAGCCAATTTGAAATAGGTAACCTATTTCACTCATGGGATCCTTCAGTATACATCATAATCATAAGATCATATCCATGTAAAATCATATTCAAGATTCACTTGCACTCTTTTAAAAGGGAAATTATCTTTATTATGGAAGAGGTGATAAAGTAATTTTGTCAGGATGATCATTTAAACAAATGCCTACTTTTAGTTTCTAGGAAATAAGTCATATGCATTACCTTCTCTCCTCCTTAGTAGCTGAAAGATTTGGCCATTTCTGTTTTACTGCTCATCTCCTGGCATATGTGCCTTCATAACAAAGGAGATTAATCTGGTTGTCAGTAATACTAACATTTGAATTTTAGAGAGTAAAAGTTCAACTGTTTAATGAAAAGGAATATGTATGAAAAGTGGTGTACAATCTGTAAAATGCTATAAATGTTAGCTAATGATAGTTAATATTTTAATTCTCATTCCTAGAACTTCCTCTTTACATTTTAGTACTGTCTGTAAGTTCTACAAATGAGAGGATAATTAAGGAAGTGAATCTTGGAGAGAAATCCTCAAACTTGCAGCAAATGATGAGACAAAGCTAATAGCATGGAAATTTGAGAATTAGACCACATTTCTCTCCAGAGTCATTCTCTTTGGGGTCACCTATCCCCCTGACTTCACCCTTTACCACACAGGGCTCTTCACCAACATCTGCCCCCTCCATTTCTGTTTCATGTTATCAGGAAAACTTAGCACCATCTGAATCCAAAAGCTATTGGGAAGGAAATAAACATTGCTCTTTGAGAAAATATCTACATCTGCACTGGGGACCTTCTGAAGCAAATGTCCTTGTCTTTGATATTTAACCCTTTAGTATATCTAAAACTAGGCATTTTTGACTTGATAGGAAAATGCAGTGAGTGCTTTCCAGTCTTTTCTATACAGGGACACACATAAAAATTATATTTATATGACATACTGGGGTAAGCAAATGAGAGTGTTTGTGTTTATAGGCAAATAGTTCAGGGGTTTCATCTACTCCAGGCCCAGGCTGGCTATATTGAGGGCAAAGAGGATGAATATCTTGGCCTAGCAATTGAGAAAACTTGGGTTAGTGGCTGGATAGAAACATAATTTCTACTGCTGTGCCACCCACCAACTACCACTGCTTCCAACGACCACTACCACCACACCATTCCCACTAGGTACTATGTACTGAGTTTTTATTATGTGCCAGGACAGCTTTATATATGCATTATAATTTAATAACCACAGCAACCATATGAAGTAAATATTATTTATTCTACTGTGTAGATAAGAATACTACTACTTAGGGAGGGTAAGTAATCTGTCCAGAGTTATATGACCAGTAATAGAGTCAAGGTTCCAAGCAGGGTCTTTCTGCCTTAGGAACCAGAATTCTTAACTACAAAACTTCACTACCTCTAGACCCTATAACATTATCTGGGAACAAAAGAGGGAAAAAAGCAAAGGAATACTCTACTCCCACCAACTTCATCCATGGATTTCTGAGATTTAAATAATTATTACAGACCCTTTTCATAAAGTGGTTTTTATAGGATTAGTGGGGAAGTTACAAAGGAAATATAAAGCCTATCTCTGGCCTCAAAAAACTTATGTTTATCTCAATTCTGTATGTTTCTAATGCCCAGTAAGCAATTAGATTCTACCTGTCAAAATCCATACTGGCGCCTTCTTTTGCATATTTGAATTTGAACTGGTATATCTCAGTCACTTTCTAGAAACATCAAAGAGAATAGAGAAAGTACTTTTAAAGAGAAATCCAAAGTCATATCTGATAATAGGTAAGGAACATTTTAATTGTACACCTACTATAACTTCCTACATACCTGTTTGTTTGACAGTATATAAAGATAAAGATAATTTTCCTCCTCCATGCTAAAAATAAGTTAGATGGTAAATTCTATTGTTAGCACTTTAAACCTGGAGAAACTATCATAGAGTCAAGTATCTGACTTGACATAGGTAAGTGACCGTGGAACCAGTTGAGAAACCATTCATTCATGTAAAAGATATTTACTGAATATCTGCTTCGTGTTAAGCACTGGAGTTAAAGTGGTGAACGTGACAGAAAAGGTCCCTGTTTTTCTGGAACATACAGCCTGGTGGGAGATACAGTCAATAAATAAGTAAACAAAATAATTTCAGACAGTAACAAGTGCTGTGAACAATATGAGGCACATCCTGTGACATAGAATAGAAGCAGAGAGGTACTGATTTAGTCTGGAAAGGCCAAAGAAGGCCTCGCTGAAGAGGTGATGTTTGAGCTGAGCCTCAGTGACAAAAGGAGTCAGTCATGTAAACATCTGGGGAACGGTGACGTTTCCCGGGCAGAGGGAACAGCAGTGAAAAGTTCTCAAATAGGAAAGGAAGTCTCTTCCAGGATCGAAGAGGAAGCCAAGTGGCTGGCGATCAGTGAGGAAGGGGAAGTGTATACATGATGAGGTGGTGGGGCCTTCTGGCCACAACAAAGGTTTCAGATTTTATTCTAAGCAAACCAGAAGTACATTGAAGGATTTTAAACATGGAAATGATTTGCATTCTTTAAAAGATCATCTTGGCTATTTTAAGAGGGCAGAGGGGAAGAAGTGGAAACCATGAGAACAATTAAGAGGCTACTGCAATAATTCAGGGAAGACTTGAATGGCCAGGGGAAAACCAGAAAAACTCAAAAAGGAACCAGGATCTACAGCATCAAGTCTTGTTTTTTTGATCCTGAAATAAAGCTAGAAATAAGGAGGGACATATTTCCTCATGAAAGACATACTCCATTTAAAATAAAATGATTGTTCAGTAGTTGAAGTAAATGTTTGGCCCAGATACATTATATCATTTGTCCATGGAGCTGGAGAAGATGCTAAAGACAGGTAGAGTTTAAGTCAGAACACAAAAAATGCTTTTCATTCATCTGTTTCAGTATCGTTTCTTGACACTGTGGGAATGAGGATATTATAGATTGATCAGAAAAAGTCTCAATGTTCCTGTTAATTTTCTCTACTTTAATATTTGATTCCCCAGCTTTGCAGATCTTTAACAAATATCTGAATCATAGATGATCAGGTCCTGGGGAAATTGGTTCAGGCTGCCTAAACTCTAAGAAGACTGATTTGTAAGCGAGTTAATTTTAAGAGAAAAATATGTTTCTAGTAAGACAGCCTACTAGAGAAATCAAACCAAGTTTAGAAGACTGCTTTGTGAGTGTAACAGGAAAGGTATGCACGACTAGAGGTGCCTAGAACAATAGGTTTGTTCCACCCAGACTAGATACACATCATCCGATTTCACTGATGGTAGGTGTAATTGCCCTGTAAGGCAAACAATGTCTGTTCTTTCTGTCTGCCCATGTTTCTCAACCAACTCTAGCTTTATAATGCTCTGAGCTATCTTATATTTTTTAACTGTCACAAGAGTAGCTCCTTTAGTAGTTGATAATTTTATTAAGACTTTATTATTTGGTCCCTGAAGCAATTAATAAGAGAGGTATGTTTGTAATCATTTTACAGCAAATGCTAACTCCTAATATTCAGTCTGATAGAGGAAGTGTATCTACAGCAAGCATCAGTCTCTTCATTAAATATTCTCCTGCTTTTCAGATTAATGTGTTGCCTAGTAAAGATGAGCCTTTAAACCACTGATTTCTATTAATAATAGTGAATATATTCACATAGGCCAAAGCAACAGCAACACCTTCCCTCTCCACACCTCAATCCATTGTCAAGACTGCTCAGGTCTATCTCCAAGCAGAGCCCAAGTCCACCTATTCTCTGCCTCTTCACGGCTATCACCCTTTCCAAGCAACCACCGTTTCTCTCCATCTGATCTGCTCGCTACCAAACTACTCTTCCTGTAATTCATTCTCTGTGCTACAGCCAAAGACAGTTTTTGAAAATACAAACCAGACCATGTCACTCTTTTGCTTAAAACACCCCAGTGGTTTCCCACTGTCGTTAGATCGAAATTCAAAAATTGCCTTGGTCCACAAGGCCTTACACATCTGTCCTCTGTCTCTCACACCTTATCTCCTGCCCCTTTTCCCTCCAACTCACTAAGCTCCAGGCTCAGGGCACCCTTTCTGTCCATGAACACACCACAAGATGCCTTCCTGCCTTAGACCCTTTCTTTGCACAGCTATACTCTGGAACATGCTGTCTCCAATTGACGATAATAATGGTAATATTTGGGCACTGCCCTAAATGCTCTCCATCTCTTCATTCTAATGTAGGCCACATTCTGAGGCAGGTATTATCCTCATTATCTGTGAAGCTAGTAAGTGGTAGAACTGGTATTTGACTCCAGAAACTACTATGTTAATTACCGTGCAGTTCTGCCAGTCACGCTGACTGCTACATACCTGCACAGAATGATTCCTCTGGCTACCCCATCTCAGGCCAAGTAGCGGTCCCTCCGGGGGCCTTCCACAGACTGCCCTCCAACCCGCCTCCTCCATTCCCTGCCTCAGCACTCTCCAGCATACCACCTCCTCTTATTTTCTTCATAGCATTATGACTATCTGAAACTGTTTTGCTAATTTTTGTTTATTATTTATCCTCCCTCATAAGAATATAAGCTTCCAGAGAGCAGGGACCTTGTCTATCTCATTCACTCCTATGTGTTTATACTTGAACAGTGCTAGACACATAAAGGGAACCCAATTAGTATTTGCTGAATGAATAAATATTCATCCAGAATAAAGTTCACATTCAATTAGGATTTCATCCTATACGGATTTTTTTTTAAAAAACAAAGTCTCTAAAAGCAAATCATGGCTAGAAACAGAGGCCATCTATAGTTCAGTTCCTGAAGTAGTCTATTAAAAGTGGGTGTTCCAACAGGCACAAAGGAATAAGATTTGTGTCCTCACAATAGTCATTATAGTAATTCTCTTTAGTCTATCATGCAGTAAGTTGTGTAAACCTTTCCTTGCATTTACACATCTTATTAATTCCCTCTGCACATGTCGTAGTATGTGTCTGTAGAAAGGCTACACTATCCCTCTTCACTATCTACCTTTGTTAGATCATCTCTTTCATGAGATGGAGCAACCAGAGTAGAACTTCAAGTGTGGAAACACCACAGCTCTGTGTATTGCCCAGAACTCTGTTGGCCTCTGGATGGGTAAGCACACTTATTTGATTTATGACTGAGGTTCTCAACTGTTATACCATGAAAGACTCCTCACAAGAGTGCTGCAAATGTTAATCCATGTGTAAAAGGCATTTTTGCTCCAGGTAAATATTAATATTGTTGTTTGTACAGGTTTGTTTAGAGGAGAACATACTTGTATGGATATGAGTCAAGAAACATAGCATAATATCAGATAAATGCCAAAGAAAAGCTGTGTTTATCTAAGAATGTTGTCTTGTGAGCCTATAAAAGAATGAGATGAGAGAGATAAAGAGTTTTATCAGTGACTTGATGCTAAGCAGCAACCACAAAACAGTATAATTCCATGGATACTTTTAGATACTATGCACATTGCTATCCCATAGTTATACTGTAATTATTGCTGACTTGTTTGCTGTTCTTTTGAGTCTTTTAATACCATCAAACATGCCACCAAATTTTCTACTAATCAAAAGTATGCCATGAACAACTAGAGGTTAGGGATCACTGCTATAGGAAACTAACTAGAGGTTAGGGATCACTGCTATAGGGAACTACCTCTAAGTGGTCAAAATATTTTTTTCTGGGTCACAAATGGTAGCTCAGAACTTCATATAATAAGCTTTTGTTTCCTAACTGCATTAGTGTGTGTATATATATATATATATACACATAGTATGTGGCTGCATTGAAGCTCATTTAACAATTTTCCTTCCACTCTGTAAACTTTTTCTGTAGTTAAGCCCAATTTGCTCAGCATTTCACTACCTCAAAACTACTGGTTTCAGACTAGTTTTGCATGCTTAAAACATAATAATCAAATGCATTAAAGAAATTACCAATTTATTAACAATTTATCAGGAGGTTTTAGTTTGGGAAACTTTCCCTCAAACCTACAGAAAAAAAGCATCTTGAACTAAACAACAGGTGAAGATAATAAAAAGATGTAGTTTGGGCACTGAGGAATTGCTGCCCACTGTATGCACCACTTTTCATCCACCTTGCTCAAACAGCTATTTAGAATTTTGCCAAGAAAAGATATTAAAGACTAAAAATGCACAATCTAGTCTTGAGTACCAGATAGGCCAAATCTACAGGCTTAGAGAAGGAAAGCTGAAAGCAAACACAAAGGAAAGGAAAGGAGGAGAGCCAGGAAAAAAATAAATAGAACGAGGAGAAAGAACGGAGGGCTTCTCTCTCCATTTCTGTGCCATTGCCACAACCACCGTTCAAAGTAGCACAAGCTATTAGGTGTCCAGGACTGATCTCACTCTGGGAGACAAGACAAGACACCTATCCTCAAGAATTCACAATCTGGTTGGGGAGATAAGGTAATTTATATGAATCAATTAAGAGCTAGAAAAGGAATTTAAAGAAGGAATAAATCAGAAGGAAGAGACAGAATAGGTAGAGAGGCTTTCATTGAAGATTTGGACATAAGTTGGCCTTTAGGATGAGTAGGATTCAAAAAGCTGAGGGAAGAAAGTTAGAGAGAGAAGTGAACGAGTAAAGCTCTGGAAAACTCTGGTAAGGTCAAAAAGGGGAGAATTTAGTTGGGAAAAAAGGTTTAGAATTATGCCATATCTTCCAAAAGGTCACAAACAGAAAGAATTCAGAATTAGTTAAATAAATAATAAAATGTGGCTTTTATACAAGTAGAGATTCTTAACGTTAACATGCTAGGTGTTTAAACAGGCTCAGTTCTACTCAGTGCTTTTTTTCAACACCCTTAAGTAGTTTTTAAAATCTCTTAACAAAGAATTGGTAATGTTTATAATAAAATACACTGAAAGAACTATGAGTTACTTTGCTCATATAGTAGTCTAGTAACATATTCTATAGCCTCAATTCAGGTAAACATTCAAATGAAATAGAAGCACACTGCTCATCTATATGTGTGTTCTTACCTCGGGTTCCTTGGGATTTGTGTAAAGCTGTTGAAAGAAAATAAACAGCATTTAATTTCCAGAACTTATTCGATTACTCCTCACAGAATACATTTTCTATGTGAAAAGTTCAGTTTGTGCTCTATTAACTGAGTCCTGAGATATATATTTTCAAGCTAGGGGCAGAATAAATTCTTATTTTGTGAACACAGAGAATCTTTAGAGTATCTGTGAACACTAACTATAAGGAAACGGATAACCAAGTATTTATGATTATTGTAACTGAGCTACAAATTCTAAATTATTTATTATGGTTTAAAACTATTAAAATAAATCATATATCTAAGACTCTCAATGGTATCTTCCTATTTTCTTTCAAATTTTAACTATATATAACATGTTATACCCAGAAATATATAAAACTTCAAAAAAGTCTAAGAAACTTGCTAAACAAAAAACTTTGAGTCTGTAAATTAACTCAAAAATGAAATCCTAATAGCCAAGAGACTAATATGACTAATATGTATACTATATATTTTCCCATATAGTGTAATATACCAAAGAAATATATAGTTTGTGATCTTTTATTAAAACTTCTGATTCTATTTTTTAACCCAAAATGTCATAAATGATAATAATAAATGACACAGATAAAGAAATCCAGGAAGGCATGGGGGGAGCACTGTTTGAATGTTTCACTTGCCAAAGGACAATGAGGTAGAGACAGAGGTTTTGTATTTAAATATGTACTTACTGTAAGTACTGCCATGTGTAGCTTCAAGAAAAAAGAAAACTATTGTTATTAAATACTTGTACCTGTATTGTTATTTTCAATAAAGGCTAATTAAAATACGATTTCAGAGAGATTCCAAAGATTTGAGTAGAAAAAATATTATTTAGAAGATCAGAAAAAAGGAATATTGATTATTCATCCATTCAAGTGGGTGCTTATTACAAACGCAGGGCTCTGCTGGAGAGGAGGAATGCAGAAGAAGATACCTATCTCTACTCTCTAAAAGTTATGTTTTTATTTGGGAGGGAAAAGATAAACAAAGTAATTCTTTATTACTGAAAATTATGCCACAATTATCTCCAAAAAAGTGTGCCTTTTGAAACTAATCTACTGAAGTAAAAATTTTAAAGTCTGGCATAAGTCTACAAAACTCTTGCCCTATGTATATTTATATTACTATAAAGAGATTCTCTCTGCTGGAAAGAGTAAAGAATATATAGATATACAGACAGAGACCTAATCAAGTCTATAATGAATTCTGAAAACTGGAATACAAATGAGAAATTTTCAGGACCATAATTTCATATTAAATGATTCACCTATTAAAACCCAAAGGACTAAAACTTTAGTGACACTGTGTGGCTATTGTGGTTACTGCATGCAATTGGTATTAAAACTATACAGTGAAACTCTAATTTATATTAATTATTTGATTAATAACCATTCATTCATTCAAAAATAGACATGGCCCCTGATCTCAGGGAACCTTCAAATCAACAGGGGAGAAAATATTAAACAAAGCAAACATTACAACTGTGTTAAATGCCATGAAGCAGCAGCACAGAGCGCTTGGAACATTAAGCAGAGGGACAGTCTAGGTTGGGTGTCCCTGAGGAGCTAAATATTTAGTCTGAGACCTAAATATAAAGGATAAATTGGAGTTAGCCATGTAAAAGATGTGGGGTAGAAAATAGAGAAGGATGTGGGCATTGTTCTTTGAACAATATGTACAAAGGTAAAAGACACTTGGCATGCTGTAGAATCCTTGTGTGGTTCCAACATTGTGAGCAATGGTGAGTGAAGACTTGGAAAGGCAGATGGGGAGTGGGTCACACAAGTTTTGCAGATCACATGAAGGACTCTGAACTTAATTTTAAAAGCCATGGAAGAATTTTAGGCATAAGAATGACATGATCAAACTTAGATTTCTGAAAAAACATAATGTGGACAGTGGGTTGGAATGGTAGGCAATTGAGAATGGGAATAAGAAAAAAAATTAGGAGGCTATGTACAAAATAGTCACTTTCTTACAAGAACTATCCAAAAATATGTATATGTGCATATTTTAAAGAACTCATGCTTAGTATGAAGTATGAAGAAAACAGTGCAAAAATCACCCAAAATTTCACAACTAGAAATTATCATCATCTTAATAGGAGAACATCTCTCAAAATCTCTAGACAGTCAAACTAGACTATTTCTAAAACACTAACTATATCCTACAAGGAAAAGTTATATGATATTAACAAATAAAAAACAAATACTATTAAGAGTCTAGGTCATTAATCTAAGGGGTTGTCTTTTAATCTCTCAAAACAGTAAATTTTATTCAGTCATACAAGTAGTTATTTAGTAAAATAAATCCATCAAACTAGGTAGAAATCTTTTTTACATTACATTGCTATTTTAGTATTATTGTAATTATTTATTCGAGAAGTGACTCTCTCATTAAACTGTGACCCCTTGAGTGTAGGAATCATCTTTCTCTCCTTTTTATCTCACCCAATACCTAGGTATAATGTCTGACACAGAGTAAATAAGAAAGAAAGGAAGGGAATAAAAGAGAAAGGAAGGAAAGCAGAGAAGGAAGAAGGGAAAGAAGAAAAGGAAAGAGAGAAAGAGAAAATGGAGGAGGAAGGAGGAAGTCACAGTTAACACTTGGCTTATTATGTGCTAGGCATTGTTCTAGATGTTTTAGATAGTGGTTCTCAAAGTATGGTCCCTAGACCAGCAGTCTCAGCATCACTTGGAATTTGTCTGAAGTGTAAATTCTCACATCAGAAATTTTGGAGTGGAGCCTGGCAATGTGAGTTTTAACAAGTCTTCCAGGTGACCTGGTTGCAAAGCTAACATTTGAAAACCATTGCTTTAGATTAATTCATTCAATTCCCAAACAAGAGGTAGATTCTATTACTATCCCCGTTTCATAGATAAAGAAACTAAGGTACCCAGAGGAAGTTTATTTGGCCAAGATCACATAAGTATTAAGTGCCAGAACTGAGATTCATTTCAGACTGTCTGATTTCAAGACTTATGCTCTTAACTATATTGTACTGTAACTCAATTATGGACACTCAAGAAATGTTGCTAAATGAATGGATGAAGGAAAATGAATGAGCACTGTTCAGTATACCGGTGATATGACCTTCTCCCCCTCTCAACCTGTCCAATATTAAAGGGCCTTCAAAGATCAAAAGCATTTCCTTCCTGGGATTTGCCTCATGTCCCTCACTGGACAGAACCCCACCTTTCCCATATTTATCTTTCCATCAGTCCAACTTAGTCCTGGAGTCGGGTTACTGGAAGCTCTCCACTAGCCAGGTGTTTAACCTTTGGTTGCTAGATTGTGGAGTGGTCTGGGGTGATCCTAAAAGAGACACTGGTGGGGTGAGGGGGAGAACATGGTGGAGGTCCTTCAAGGTCTCAGGAAAGCAGCTATTCACCATGCACTATGGAATATTTCAATATTTTAACAACAGGTACAGTTGGGCCAGTGTGTAATAGCCAATCATCAGCCACGTATACAAACATCATTTCTCTTCTGCCACAGTCTGTAAGTTCTTTGTGTGCACAATCACCTATCTGTTTTATTTTTGCATCCCTCAGTTCCCCCAGGTCAGTGAATAAGTCATGAGTAATAACTGTTTGATACAAAAGGAAATGCGTGAGTTCAACTAAATAAACCCATGTAAGGCTGACTCACCTCAAGATTTCTTAAAGGAATAGGAATTGAGAGGGAGTAAAAAGATATAGACGGGGAAAAGGAGGGCAAGCAGTGGCAGAAAGTTTATTTATATACATCTTGTCTCTTCTATCAGGACTAGAACCTCTAATTTTTACACCCTCATAGCTGTCGTAGGCAACAAGAAAGATTAAAATTTTTAAAAACTTAAAATTCAAGCTGCGTTTTTAAAAAATTCAAGCTATACTACTAGCTATTTTGAGGGAACAGGTTATGTATACAAACATAGTTAACAAAATAACTAAGAGGGATTAACAACTGATTATTCAAGTCTGTTTTTTCCTTTTATGTCATGAATTGAATTACCACTATTTTGAACATGTTCAATGTGCTAAATGCCAGATTCTTGTCTCCCTTGTCCCATATACTCTGGATCTCTCCCAGTGACATGAGAGGAAATTCTGTGGTCAAAAAGATGAGTATGTAAAGGAGAAAAATGAGGGGTGTCACTTCTAATTGATATAAATGAGACATCAACAGGACAACAAAGACACAAAATAAAAAGAAAGTCATACATACATGCAAATGTAGACACCAATACACTGTTAAAATGCAACAACAAAAGAAAGGCTGAACTTTTTTTTAAGAGATAAAAGATGAGTCTTTGATTCTGGTGTAAATTTAAAAACATTCTTACATATCTCTTTTCCAAAGCATCAAAACAACCTCGAATCCTGTCAAGAAATAAATGCTTGATGTCAGTTTGGGCCAGATGCAAAGCCAAAAAAATTCCAAGTACAGAATTGACTTACATTTTTTTATCTGGAGTACATTAAACTGATAATCATTTTTCCTTCCCCATTTAATCATTTTTTTAAACTCTCAGTATCCTTTAATATGTTGATAGAACTATATCAATAATAGTGAGCAATATCAAGGTAGGGAACCACATCTTATTCTTCTTTTTGCCTCCCATAATGTTTAGGATACTGACATGCACATGATGAGCAATCAGATTTTGATTGATATTTTTCTTTCTTTTTATACAAGTCCATTTTCTTCAAAACAAAAAGAAATGGCTTTAAGAAAATGATCTTACCAAATAAAGTTTTATGGGTAATTTCAGCCAAAATAATGTTGTTCAACTTTTGTGAAATTTCAGTTACTTACCATTTGATAATATGCAATGACCCAGGACATTTTTTATCTTCTCGGAGGATTTTTAAATTGAGGTCTACAAAAATATAAACACAGTCTATTTTCATCTCCTAAATGACTACTGTACTAAAATTGTGCATGCCTTTAACTATTTTATTTCTATAACTGATTTAGTTTTATAGCATATAAAAACATTTTTAATCTCTAAGTATCTGCTTTAAACCTAAACCCTATATTGATAATTGGCTTAGTTCCAATTTTGATTATGGTTTAGCGGTCTCTCTTTCTGCAATATAGCACAACTAACTTGGCTGCAAAATCAATTTGTGTCATTTCTTTCCTTCTATTGAATTCTAAGTAATCATAAGGTTATACTGAGACCATCTCTGCTAATCAATGTAAAACCACACCTCAATCTCAAGATCACTTCTAATATTTCTCTCCCTCTCAATGAAAAAAAAAAAGTGAGAATTTTTTCTACAGATTATTCTCAAACATTAATTTCACCTTAAACTCAACTATCTTACTATAGTTAGGGAAGAATAGGAAAATCAAATTAAAAGAGTTTTAGTTCAGATGAGTCAAAAAATCAATGACTGATTCATGTATGACTCCATGTAATGTCCTTTACCTTTTCATATTGTTTTTCTATTCTAAAATTGATGTCACCTCTACCTGTATTCAAGGATATGAAAATTAAGTCCACATTGGTATAACATTTAAAGATTACCAAAAAGAAAGTGACATAGGAGTACTGAGCACTTTCATGATATATGCTACTTTAAGTACAAATATTGAGGAGACATATAACTTCCATTAAAACTCACAAAAAATAAAGCTATATGAAATGGTATTACCCCTGTTTAAAAAAGAAAAAACAAAAAACAAAAAAACAGACCCCAAAGGAATTCACTTGTCCCATACTAGCAAACCAAGACTTAAATGCAAGAATGTGACCTCTATCCAGTCAATCTGGAATTTCCTGAACAGCAGTAGTGAGGTAATCTGCATAACAGAGTACAGCTCCTTCTCCAAAGAAAGGTGACCTTGCCTGAAACAATCCTTTCTTTTCTTTTACTAATAACTTCCTTGTCCGGCCCTGTTTCTGCCTATAAAAGTCTTCCAC